ATCCCAGCACTTGGGAAGCTGAGGCAGAAGGGTCACAGAGAATTTGAGGCCAGCTCGAACTTTTTTGTCTTAAAAACGAAGTAAATAGAATAATTATTACACAAACTACCACCTTTGAATGTTTGTTCTGCTGCAGACATAGGCGAGCAGTTTTCTGCCCATGGAGTCCTCAGGAGAACACCTTCAGGATAGGATAAAGAGGGTTGTTTTCCTGAGTGGACAAAAAAAGGCTGGTCTCGAACTCACAGCGATCCTCCTGCCTCAGCCTCCCGAGAGTTGACATTACAGGTATGCGCCACCACGCCCGGCTTCTTTCTCTGAGTTTTTGAGACAGAGTGTCACTATATAGCCCAGTTATACCTGTAGTACCAGGGCTGCCCCACCCGGCTTCCCTGGAGTCTCTGCAGGGACAGAAGTAACAGCCACAGAGCCCAGATGAGCGTGATCACTGCATCCCAAACAGGCGCTGATAAAAACACACCAAATGCAGAAGAAGAAAAAGGAGTTGACGCGTTGAAATCAGTTAAAAGGAGAAAGAATGTGGGCTGTGGGCTGACAGGTGTCACCTACCACCGGTCACCCTCTCCCTTCCCTCTTCTCGGATGGGAGCTCCCTGGCTGTGACATTCCATTCCTGCCCTCCCTCCGTCTTCCGGGTGCCATTTTATTGAGTGACTTTTTCTCACTGATGGGCCTGAGAAGAAAGTGTCTTCCACGCCTGGCTGTGGTCATTGCTTTGTCTTTTCTGTTTGTTTGAGTCAGGGTCTTGCTGTGCAGTTCAGGTTGGCCTCCAGCTCAGTATATAGTCCAGGCTGGTTTGAATTTAGGGCAATCCTCCTGCCTCAGCCTCCTGAGTGCTAGAATTATAGGCGTGTGTCACCATCCCCCCATCTAGGAATAAACAAGGGGAGCCCCTGTTCCTTTGAGGAGGGGTGATCAGGGAAGTCCCCATGCCAGTGATTCACGTCCAAGGGACTCCTTTGTGCCAGCCTCTCATGGGGGCCCCATCGCTAGCTCACACCCCACTGTCAGGGTCAGTCTCTCTGTGTGTCCCATCCCACATCCGCAATGAACCCATCAACAATTAATAAACGGATCTGGCCAGGTGTGGTGGCACGTTTCTGTAATCCCAGCACTCAGGAGGCTGAGGCAGGAGGATCACCTTGAGTTTGAAGCCAGCCTGGGCTACCCTGTGAGACCCTGTCTCAAAAAAAAAACAAAAAACCTAAAAAACAAAACAAAGCAAACAGACAAACAAAAAAACCCAAAACCCAACCAACCAAACAAAAAAGGGGTGGAATAATAGTATTTTCATAACATTGCGGTGAAGATAAAATGATTTGACCTGTGTCGGGTATGTGCAGGGCCAGGAACTGTCTCAAAAACAAAAAATATTTACACTTTTGAAAAATCTTTAGGGGCTGGAGGTGTATAGCTTAGTGGTGCCTGCTTTGTAAGCGCAGGGTTCCAAGTTCAATCCCAGGTACTGAAAAGAAAAGAAAGAAAGAAAATGCAGCTTCCGGTCTCACGTACAGGTCATCGCGCATGCATTGTAGGGGCACCAAACGTTTCACAGGAGCGTGCACTGGACGTCACACTCCCCGGGTCCGCCCCACGGAGTCTGATTTTCCACGGCTTCTCTGGGTGATATAAACCCATACATATTCCTTACGCTTATTCCTAGTATTTGTGACATTTTAGGATGCGGAGGGCAGGGTGCAAGGGTAGAAATCGTTTAAGAAAACATTGGTAAAGAGGCCAGGCATGGTGGTGCACGCCTGTAAATCCTACCACTTGATAGGCTGAGGCGGGAGGATAGCCACGGGTTTGAGGCCAATCTGGGGGACGTGACGAGACCCTATTTAAAAAAAAAACAAAAACAAAAAAATAAAATACATTTTAGAAAGAAAACATTGGTAAAGAAAGCCACATAAAAATAAGCCTTGAGTTTTAAAGTCTAAGAAAATCTCCTATCTGCTGCAACCAAGAAATCTACTAGTTTAAAAAAAAAAAGTCAGGGCTGGAGATTTAGCTCAGTGGTACCACGCCTGCCTCGAAAGCTCAAGGTCCTGACTTCTATCCTTGGTACCTGGAAAAGCCCAGGGCCAGGGATGTAGCTCAGTGGTGCTGTGCCTGCCTGGCAGCCACAAGGTCCTGCATTCAATCACTGGTGCTGAAATAAACACCAAACCAACAACAAAAACAAAGAAGTCCAACTGTGAACTAAAATTTTGTTTTTGCAAAATAATATAAAAATATGAAAAAGGGTAAATCTTAAAATGTAATGAGCTATTATTATTGTTGTCTTTTTTTTTTTTTTGAGACAGGGTCTCACTATGTAGTTGAAACTGACTCGGAACTCACTATGTAGCCCAGGCTGGTCTCGAACTCACAGCGATCCTCCTGCCTCAGCCTCCCCAGTGCTGGGATTACAGGCATGCGCCACCACGCCCTTTTTTTTTTTTTTTTTTTTTTTTGAGACAGGGTTTTACTATGTAGCCTAGGCTGGCCTCATACTCATGGAGATCCTCCTGCCTCAGCCTCCTCCTGAGTGCTGGGATCTAGGCATGTGCCACTATACCTGGCTATGAGCAGTTACTGAGCTGGAGGTACAGCTTAGAGGTAGAGCACTTTGGTTCTATTTTCAGCAACACACACAACACACACACACACACACACACACAATTATAAATCACTAAGAGAACAAACTTAGTCTGTAAGTCAATGAGCAGATGTGAGTAGGTAATTTACACGAAATGTAAATGTCTCCTACTATGCAGAAAAAGATGGTGTGTTATTGGTAGCGAACCATTTTCAATCTCTCCATTTGGCAGAGTTGTTTTTAAAAATAGGTATCTAGTGTTGCTTGGTGTAGACTAGTGTAGCATTTCAGCAGGAAAATTGGGTCATAAGAATTGTATCAAGCCATAGGATGTTTCATAACCTCCCACTGAGAAATTCCACTTGTAGAAATGAATTCCCTTCTAGAACTAATCACGAATCTGCACAGAGTTCTTATGGTAGAAAGGCTGAAGACTAAAAAATTTTTTCTAATACGGAAGATGGCTTCAGGTTTGGTAAAATACACTGGGAAACACTGACCCGGTGGTACACTGTGTAGCCAGTAAAAATGAGGTAGTAGAATAATGAATGACACAGAAAAGTGCCAACAGTATTTTTTTTGTGTGAGAGCACACCATGAGACCTGGCTATTCCTAGAACAAAAACTAGAGACATACTCGGGAGTCTGAGGCAGGAGGATTCAAATTTGAGCTGAGCCTGGGCAATTTAGTGAAATAATTGGAGGGTGGAAAAGGGAGGGATCCAGCCAACTCAAAGGGGGTGCTAATGCTTCTGGCATTGAGGTCTGGGGCCTCAGTTGAAGTAGCACTGGAGTCCGATGTGATGGCACAAGCCTACAGTCCCAGCACTCGGGAGGCTGAGGCAGGAGAGTTAGTTCGAGGCAGCCTAGGTAGACCCTGTCTCAAAAAGCCACCCCCAAGCCGGGCGTGGTGGCGCACGCCTGTAATCCCAGCACTCGGGAGGCTGAGGCAGGAGGATCGCTGTGAGTTCTAGACCAGCCTGGGCTGCATAGTGAGTTCCAGGTCAGACTGAACTACATAGTGAGACCCTGTCTCAAAAAAACAAAAAATAAAAATAAAAAGCCATCCCCCAACCCCCGAGAAAAGTATCTCAGTGCAAGACAGCAGAGATTCCAGAAGCTTCTCAATCCTAATTCTGTCCCCTTAGTGTGACTGTTAGTTATTGTGCCACAGTTTCCTCTTCTGTAAAATAATATCTGAATTACAAGGGTTTTGTCAAGTCTTAATAAGTTCTACATAGTAGAACAGCAGTCATTAAAAAGAAGCCTTCTTGACAGCTCCTAGAGCGTTTTCGTTAGATTCTTGTGCATTAGAGTTTGACGAGTGAATACGCGAGCGATCCAGAGCGGCGGGGGCCAGTCCTCCCTCGGGTGGCCACAGAGCCTGGCGGGCGGAGTGGAAAGGGCCGGGCGCGGGGACGCGGC